AGAAAATCACTACTATAGTTTTTAGGATCATGGTATCTCAGATGGTGACATTTCCACCCAATGGTATAAAAGCCCTGACGTATGTAACTACATTCTCAGGCAATGCTCTCCTATATGAAAAGATGAAGGAAGCTAGGGGAAGGGAAAGTTATGTACTTGTACCAACACTATACTCGGGGAGCATAGTCTCATACAATCCTACAAATAGCAGGTGCATGTACCCCATTTTGCAGCTGAAGAAACTGAGATTCAGTTTAAGAGCCAGTCTTGGCTGAGTGCTTCATGTTATGCTACCTGCAGTCAGGGTTTATKTTTTAATCATTAAAAGGTGAAGCAGGAGGCATGAAAATGCTCCCCAGTTSTGACATTTATACTTTAAAATACATTTATACTTTTAAATGTATACCTCAGAGAAATTACTGAAGACCCCATGTGATGCTCAAAGACATTGGAAAAATCTTAGAAATAAACATGTCAGTTAGTCCCCCAAAGCAGAGTTAGCCTCAGAGGCTACATTACAAGGGACATATTTTCAAAGCTAAAAAACTGGAATGCATTTCTAACAATTTCATAGTACTTTTGGTTTMATGTCAGAAATGCAATTTGGAAGTAGAAATGCTGGAATTCCCAGAACACATAAGTGAGTTTTTGGAATTAAAACTATTTCGGAAAAATCCAGGATAAATAGGATCCCATATGTATGAAGATGAATTATATCAGCATAATCAAGTGTGCACATTATGCTTTCCCATGATATAACTTATTTGTGAATCCTTAAAACAAATTTTTTATTGTTATAGTGTTTGGCACAGAAATAGGAGTGAAGAACATGACTATAATGATTATGAAATTTTTTGCTTGTACAAGGATGTGAAGGGTTATAGATAAAATGTCCACCAGCTGTTCTTTTTCCATTGAGGTCAACCCAATGGAAAGAGCACCAAGATGGAACAGAGGAATTACTAGATAGATAGGATGGGGATGGGGCAGCTGAGAAGCCTTAGGAGGGATCACCAAGGGAAACAGGCTAAGCCTTCAGATGCTTAAGAATTAAAGGGTCTATTTTTAGGCTGGTAGTATTCTTGGAACTACGGGGTCAGGTTCCTAGTTAACCCAAAAGTTTTGACTGAATAGGAGACTTTAAAGTGTTGTTAGAGACCTTAACTTCTTATAATTTATGTACAGGAAGTCAAGGAAATGATATTTGGACTGATCAGGGAAGGTTTTGTAGAAGGCAGTGAATTTCTGGTGGCCCGATAAGAATGAAAGCATTTGGGATACACAGATTGGAAGGACAAACATTAGAGATAATGGCAACTACAAAGTTCAAAGACCACTTTGGCTTAGTATTTTGCCAAGAAAGCAAATTAATTAAACGTAACTTAAAAGCATTCACTTGACTAATATTTATTGAGCACCCAACTCAATAAATGCCAGGCACTAGTCACAACTTATAGGGGAGAACAAGAAAGATATTTTCTCATAATATATAACAGAGATGTACGCTGTTGTTTTTAATTTTTTTAAACATAAAACTCATGTTTACAGGCTGGGGTTGTGGCTCAGTGGTAGCACACTTGCCTAGYATGTATGAGGCACTGGGTTCAATTCTCAGCACAACATATAAAAAATAAATGAATAAAGGTCCATCAATAACAAATAAAAATTTTTTAAAAAGTAATGTTTACTTTTTGTGAAGAGTTTAAAAATTTTTATGTGATCATTTACCTGTAGGGGTTTTAAAATAAATCAAGATCAAAGAAAGGTACTCACAGAACACCAGGTATTCATTTAATGGAAAGTGTATGTGAYACTGAGGTTGGTGGCCCATGCCTATAATCCCAGTGACTGAGGCGGAAAAATCAAAAGTTTGAGGGCTGCCTCAGTAACTTAGTGAGACTCTGTATCCAAATAAAATAAAGAGGACTGGCATGTAGCTCATAATTAGAGTGCCAGTGGRTTCCATTTTACTTCAGTAAAATAATTTTAAAAATAAAGGAGCTATGATTATGCTTGCTAAAAGTTACTCAYATGCATAGTGTGACTGGTTTTGTTTTTAATCAGAGCTTTTGGGTACAGGAAGATAGTGATCAGCAACATGCCAGGAGAAATGCAGAAATTTCTACATGGTAAAAAAATGAGTGTCTAGAGAGCTTTAGAAGTAACTGGATTCCCCAGGCCCCTGCTCCTCTTTCTTAAGGACAGAGATAAAATAACAACAATGTGAGGCCACAGAGGCATACATCTGTTTCTGATTTCTTTGTCTTGTCCTAGTTGGAAGTAATTTCTAGATCATATGCTACAGTCTCAGAAAAGTTACAGAAGGAATTCACACAAAGGGCAAATACATAATTAAATACACATACAAAAACACACCATCAATAGAATGTAGATAAGGAACATATGCAGAACTTTTGATTAGGATGAAATCATCCGATGGTTCTTTAATTTTCTTATTTGTGCAACTAGCCCAAGTGTTCAGTATTTACTGATATCAGGATGTCAGAAATCCATCCCCTGATCCATCTTCTTAGTTTCCTACTAGACTGGCACTGGCATTTTGGAAGTCTGGAACTAGAGATGAATCTACAAGTTACTTATTCCTTATTTTCCTTTGTGTTAGAATTAAATTTCCTAGTTCTAAACCTGGTACTTTTCTTAAAGAATTGCTTCAGTAAGGTCCAAGATGGAATCTGCTTAATGGCAAGGACCTCAAGTGTTAAACTAAAAAATAAATTTGCACTTGGGGCATACTTAAATAGAAATTCTAAACCATTTACATCTGTTTTCTAGTCATCTTTCTTGCCTTATTTTAAAACAACAACTTATTTTTTTGTTGTTGTTTGTTTTCTTTTTTTGTGGTGTTGGGAACTAAACCCAGGGCCTCATGCATACTAGGCAAGTGCCCTAGCACTGAGCTACTCCCCAGCCCCACACATACCATCTTTTGACTTTTTTTTTTTTTTAAATTCATCCTTTTGAATTCTTTTCTATAAATTGTTAAATGTTTTAAGCACTCAAAACAGAGGTCAAGGATAATTTTATCCTTTTAGTTCATTCTCTTATATGAAAAAAAATTAGCAGGTCAAATTAAACTCTTAAATTAAGTTACAATTTCTTTTCTGGACTTTATTTTTAGAATTTTCTCACCCAATTCAAATTGCTCTTCTAAGATCATGCTTTTTAACTTTAGATTATATATCTAAAACATCATTATTTATTAAATGCTTGCCTTACTACTGACTTTTGAGGTTACACTGTTTAAAACCTTGCTGTAATTTGACCCAGCATTAACTAATTCTGATTACTTATTTGGTACATGGTGGATAATGCTGACCTTTCAAGGAAGGAGTTTAACACATAATTTGACAAAATTAGGAAATGACAGCATCAGTTCTAAGAATATAGAAAAAAGAATTTGAGGAGAGAGTTGACAATGTCTGGTGTTAGATACCGTGTTCTTTAAAGACCACAGACAACATGCACCAATGTAGGCGGAAACAATACATCTGCAGACACTGGCAGACAGCATTACCCCCGAATTTGGCCAGTTTCCTAAGATAAATAACTTTTTGGTGACGTGCAGGGCTGAAATTACATAAACAACAGAAATTACTAAGCCTAAGCCAGCAAGTTTTGTGARTTTTAAGCTTTTATGCAATCAATACCCTGACATCTGTACCACAATTCTGTCCCTAAAATACTGATGCCAGAAACTAAAATATTAACATTACTTGTTGACTTTTGTTCAGATTTTGAAATAAACTAAATTTAATTCTTTGGAATAACCATCTTAAGCCACATTTTTATTTAGATCATTAAGACAACCATAATCATCTCCTTATAAGGAAAAGTTTCATTAAAATGCTAGAGAGCTGCAGCCTGTTTAAAAAACCAATACTTGTAGCTTGTTATACTAACAGTTCCAATGTCTAACCATTATAAATGAAAACACCCTTAACAGTTTTATCTCAAGAGTCTGACTAGTAAGAATTTTAAAAGGCTGACAATGAAAAATAGCTGAATATTCCAGGAACTTCTATAATAATAGGAAATGGCATTAACTCATTACCTTCTTAATCTTTCTCCAGAAATGACTATTTTGTCTGATTAAAATATATGAGGGAGGTAACTGCCATTATAAAATGGTATCCGGAAGGCTTAGAAACTGCAAGAATAGGTATATAGAAGTCCCTTATTAGTTTTATCCAGCACGTTGGGAATGTGTTTGCCAAACTGAGGCAACATTCTCCAGTGGAACTGAAATATACCAGGAGCAAATTTGTAATATTAGATATTTTTAAAAAGATCTTTTACCTCCCTCCTTGAATATCAACAAAGTCTGTACCAACAGAAAATTAAAACAATAGCTCTGAATTCTAAACTTTCTTTAAAAATGTCTTCCTCCCTTGTTCTTCTAGGTAGTTAATTTTTTCTTCCTCTTAATTTTCTGAGGATATGTGAGTAAAAAATCTTAGCTAAGATTTCACTTTGGTTACTGAGGTTTACTGTTTTATAATTTGTGATTAATATCCTACAAATTAAGTCAATTAGCAGCTTTTTAATTAAAAAATCAATAAATTATATATTACATTTGAGCCAGGCCAGTATTTGTTTACCTACTATCCACTATTTGCTTAAAAGAGATGTTTCATTAATCTCAGAATAAAATTACTCCCAGTAGTCAAATTTTTTTTTGGCATTTTCCTCCCTTTCTTCTAAGAGAAGGGGTATTGCTATATTGTTCATGATGGCCCAAATTCTTGGACTAAAGTGATCCTATTGCCTTGTCCCCAAAGTAGGCACATGCCATACAAGACTGGCTTAAACAATCATTTTTAAAATAAGTCTGACATAAAAATACAAAAGGATAACTTTATTAAACATTCAAATTCAAAAAGGATTACAGCATAAGACAGCAGATCAAAAGCCATGGTGTGTGTGTGTGTGTGTGTGTGTGTGTATATATATAAAATAGTGTACACACACACACACACACACACACACACAATTATCTACATTTACCAAATATTATACTACACTTATCAGATTAGGTAGCTATACTGACCTGTCAATGCTCAAAATAATGAAGTAAATATCTGTCCCTAATCTGTTTTTATAATTTATTAATCTCAGATCTACTCCTCCAGACTTATTTCCCATAGGAAGTTTGTGATGCTGTACACATCATGCTACAYGCTCTACATATCATTTTGGAATGTAAATAATATATAAACTTCTATCTTAGGTCCCTTCCCACTTTGCCTCCTTCATTATCTCTTTTCCCAATCCACCTAAAACTCCAATAATCATTCTGCACTAAATAAGACCAACTTAGTTAAAACAGGGTATAGAAATCTGGAGGGCTCTAGATAGAGGAAAAAATCTCCAGTAATATTTTCAATTCTGTATTCATTTTTCCTTTGGGCAGCTACCTAATAATATTAATATGATGTAAAAAAAAAGAAAAAGAAAAACATACACATTCAAAAGAGAAAAGGATAAGCATTTTAGACTATTAATACTCACCTTAGTCCTAAAGGCTTTCCCTTATCAACCAATGTGTATATTATTACTTTTAAGTTCCCAACTGTAAACATAAAACATTTAATACAACACCCAGAAACTTTATGGTAAATGCCATATGATTTCCAAAGTGACTATGTTAGGTGAGGACAAAGAAAGAAAAATAAATAAGACAATTTACACAAAAATGTGTTCATGAAATACTTTTTTTAAGTGGATAAATTCAACTTTAAGTGATATTTTGCCCCACGACCAACACTTCCTTACTGTCTTACTGTTCGTAAAAGATATCCTCTAGGAAAGGAAATTATCTTTATCTATAAAACTGTTAAGAGTTCTAGCACCATTTTGAACTTTTCAAAAGGACAGAGCTTATACTCTTAAGGAATCAGTAAACTAAGTCTTTTGACTCATTTGATCCCTATCACACCCATTAATTTTAATACTTTCACCTTGAACGCATGTGCTAGGCTAAAACTACTCTTTTTTTTTTTTTTTTTGCATATGGCAGTGAAAAATTTTAGAGAAACTAAGGTCTGATTTTACTTGTATTGATTTAACTCAAAGATTATACTATCTGTCCAAAAAATTCTCCCAGATATTTTAGAGTAATCTTAATCTCTATTTTATAACCTGTCATGAGAGCAGATAATAACATTTTTAAATAAATTATTTATCCTATTCTGGTATCAACAAGAACATACAGCTATTACAAAAACTCTTCACCTCACAATACACAGCAGTAACATTAAATGAAATACCACCATCACAAGCTCATATCTTTAAAAAATGGATGTAACAAAGCTTCTTCTGCTGTTATTCTGGAAGCTGGATTTAAGTCTAGAAGTTTATCAAGCAGGTCATAAGCTTCATCAGGTACCTCATCCCAGCCTTCTAAATTGGTACTACATTCATCATAGCTACTGCCACAGCCATTACTATCCCCTTTACATAATGAATTCCCTAAGTGTTGTGCCTGCGATGTTTGTATGATGTAAGAAGCTTTCTGGTCAGTCTTCTCTGAAAAGGATGGGTCATACGTACATCCTTGACTATCACTTGTTAATCTGGAAGTGTTAGAATCTCGACCCCTGAGTCTCTCACAGAGTTTCCTTAAGTCTTGTGCTGGGACTTCTTTGCTACATAATATTGATTTGCCTAAAAGAAAAAACAAAAATACATACACACATATTTCATTATATTAGTTGCATATATCAAAAGCATCTGTCATGGGAAAGAGGCAAGTCCAGCCATGTGCTTTATGAGTATATACATATATATGCATACACACAGAATATTAACACAGAGCACCACATGCATTTTTTTTTCTGGTGGGGGTAGTGGAAATTGAACCCAGGGGTGCTTTATCACTGAGCTATATCCCCAGCCCTTTTTGTTTTTTATTTTGAGAAAGGGTACTGCTAAATTGCTAAGGCTGCCCTCGAACTTGCAATCCTCCTGCCTCAGCCTTCTGAGCCACTGGGATTAAGAGCATGCAATACGGTGTCTAGCTACAACATGCTATTTTTAAGTTGTATTTGAACTACATAATTGAAGGCCAAACCATAAAGTGGGAAATATTAAGTAGAAAGCAGCAACTTACTGAGCTATGCCAGGTACTCACTTAACTCTGCCCACTTCTCCAGCTTTCTTTTATTCTTTTGTAATCTTTAGCTGCAGCTCCACCCTCCATCCTACCTCCCATCGTCTATGCTTTTAAGCCCTCCACACCCTTGTGTGCCCAGGAGGCTCCCATATACATCTTCACCTTGCTCAAGAAGCCCCTCTGTGATGACACTCAGATGCAACTGATCATGTTAAACTTCTGTCATTTCCTGGGAAGAGTTCTATTATTACTTTCTTTTTTCTTTTTTTTTTTTTTGGCCGGCTCCACCTGCTCTACTTATTTATTTATTTATATATTTTTTACATGCGCTCTTATTATTATTATTTTTTCCATTACAATTCTTAATACACCTTTATACCACAATTTATCATACCACTGTATACAAGATATGTTAACACCAAATTCACATCTTCGTACATGTATTTTGTACAACAATGAGGGTCTCTCTCCTTCTACCATCCATGCAATTCCCCTTCTCTCTCCCTTTCCCTCGCATCCCTCTTCCCTGGCTACATTACATTGTAACTGACAAAATGTATGTATGTCTTACTTACTAGATAATGTATTCTTTCAAGATAGGGAATGTCCTATTTATTTTTGAACCCCCCAAACCTATACAATGCCTGGTACCTGCTAGTTGCTCAGTTAATGTCTGTTAGACTGAACAAAAAGGCACTGTTCATTTGAACATCTGTATTCAAATGTCACACTCTTAGAGGTACTGGTTTTATTCAACCTGTCCTAAATGGCTGAGCTCTCTCCCTTTCTCCTCATGTTTTTCAGCACCATTCACTTGTTAGTAAATATTTACTTTCTTGCCCTCATTAGAGAGGGTATTTAAGCTCTATAAAAGCAGAAACTCACAACAGTACCTGGCATATAAAGTCCCAATAATGCTTCTCAATGAATTAATAAGCAAATTAGATCTCAAGTTTCTAAAACATAAATGTATTTATAAAATAATTTACCATCAGCTTATTATCAGACACAGGGAAACATAAGTTACTCACACAAATAGGGAACTGTATGCTAATTGCTAATTTCCTTATTAAACAGAAATGTGGCTCTAAATGATTAGCATAACATTTAGATCTCTTTCTGGAGTATGCAGATTATAAACAAAGCAATTTGGATGAAGTTACCTTTACATATTCTGAGACTGATGTAATAGGGCAGGAAAAAGTGGGGAGGATGACCCCAAGGAAAAACAAAAGGAAACAAATGACTACCAGCTAAGTGTGGTGAGRACACCACAGGCCAATTCTTCTTTACTTTTAAATCTATCATTTCTATCATTATCTCTAGAAAATTCTAGCCAGAGGAGAATAGTCACATAGTTTTAATTTATTAGCTTGCTCTCAAGTCATGAAATAAAAATAGTATGTAGAACATCCCAAGCAGTACAATATGCTTAAATTATTTTTGTACATGACTAAAGAGTACATTTAAACTATTCAGGGAAAATAATTTACACTAGTACATTCAATCAAAATGCATTTTGTTACAGACTGCTATCTGTCAGGCATTTGTTTTAGCTCAAAGTTTTCTTTTGAAATTATTCAATAGAATTCAATGAGTATTTAATGATGACCTAAAATGGGGCCAGGTCTAAAGCTGAGGATAATGGGGTAGGTTATATATAAGAGAAGCAGAGGTACACTCACTGCTATCTCAGGCAAGTCATCTCTTTATGTTCTAAAGGAGAACATAGTTTTGTGTATTTAAATTTTGAGCTTTATTAGTCAGCTCAAAGTTATAAAATGCTCTAAAAACTAAAAAGTTATGCTTAAAAAAAGACAAGTACCATAAAGCATTATTATTTTTTAAAATGAGAACAATATAAATTTCTAAGAAGCCCTTGTGTGATATCTGATATTTGCTCTGAAGTATTTTTGTGTCAGATGTACTTTAATTTGTGGCTCTCATTACATCTTTGACTATCAATGGGGGAAGAGTCAAGCTCAACAAAATGTTTTAGTGCTGGCTGATAAACTTTATGTTCATAAACTTCTCTTAAAGTTATTTAATAGTAGATAAATGTTTTCTTAACTAGTTAAGCATAAACATAATCATGTTTATTATAATGTAATACCAGTTTCAAGATAATTATCTTATTTTACATTCACAGTCATTTTTTCCTTATATGTATGCATTATTTCATCTTATTATCTTCAAATAAATTTTTCTTATAATAGGTAGAAGAAAGGTACAACATGTGAATTGACTTGGAGGCAGAGATAATTTTTGGCAAGCMTTTATTATGAAGCTTTCCTAAAATTCACCACTAAGTTTTCTTTATGGACTAGACCATAGCACTGGTGCCTAAGCAAGAGGCAATGATTTTTATGGTGGTTGACCAGAAGTGATTTACAGTCAAAATCATTTGTTTTCAAACTAACAAGCCTGGAGCCTTTTTCAGTATGTTTTTCTGAATTATATTCTCAGAATGGCATAGCATTTTGGGCATATGAATATCTTGAAACTTCTCAGATAATTCTGATTTGCATTGTTGGTTAAGACCCACCAATCCTGGGACTGAGCACATGGCAGCCCCGTTACTCTTGATGTAGGATGATTAAAACATTGTCCATAGGGGTGTTCCATATTGTATRGTGCAAGCTGACTTAATCAGACCCTCTCCTTGGAAAGTATCAAGTCTAATTGTGCTTAGAGAATAAATTCAAGGTGGGCATTTGAATTCATGTTGTTGGACAGAGAGAAGCTGAGAGAATTCTCATGTGTCCTATAAAGTAAACTGTATATCCCAGTCTTGAAGAAGAACCTTTGTGGAAATGACTTCCTATGTCCTATGTCCGATACATGCTTACAAAAATACTCCATCTGAAAAGGTGTTCTATTCATTTCACTTCTCTGCTACCCTACCCCTCAAAACCTGAATACTAACACACATTTCTCTTCTCTTCCAAACTATAGTCCTTATTAGGCTGTATTATAATTCTTTACTTATTATTCTAAAATCAATTAAGGAGAGAACATTCTTAGTACCATGTAGAACATCTGGTAAATATTTATGTAATAAAAGTCACTAAAGTAGTTTTTATTCCTTATTCTCTTGTTTAAGATTATAAAGCTGAGCTCTAAATACTGGAGTAGTTTAGTACTCTATAATTAGTAAGAGTAAATGATTACATGTAATGAGGAGAAGAGATGATAAATTATTTTCTTACGTAAATGCAATGTATTTCCAAGCAATTAAGAATTTCCTACCTATGAATAGATATATTTATAAACATTGAATATGTTTATTTGTAAAGAGAATTTTATGTTTGCAGCAAATAATCAAAGGCATCTGTTTTGTTCTATAATATAAAACTGCTTACCAAAAGTTTCTGCAGCCTGGATAGTTTCCCTGGATCCCCGAATTGTCATAATTTGAGCCAGTGCAGTTAAGTCATCACTTGCTTTATAAAATGGATATCGTCCACTGAGCAAAGAAAGGAATATGACACCTGCAGACCACATGTCAATTGCTGTAACAGAAAACAAACTTTAAAATAAATTCCAAATCTATAATTTCATCATTTATATAAAATAGTTCTCATCCTTTACTGTTCATTAAAATCATCTTGGGAGCCTTAAAAAATTCAGATGCCAAGGCTCAATCCCTCAGAGATTTTGATCAGTCTAGAGTTAGGTATTTTTAAAAAGACCCCCCAGGTGACTGTAATGTATACCCAGGATCCCTGACTCAACATCCTTGCTAAAAAATACAATGTTTTCTTTCTGGAACAATATGTTGGTAAGTTAAAAGGATATTTCATCATTAGAAAATTCTTAAGTAAACATACATTGTATAAGATCAAAAGAAACCAAAAATAGCTCTGTGGAAAAAAATCTGGGATGCCTCTCAAAAGCCTATACTACAGTAATGTTTTTTCATTCTAGTGAAAAGTACTGAACATTAGAAGCTCTTCTTCAGCCAGATGTTAACATCAACTACTATAGAAACTTTCATCTCTGGAATTCTGGCAGTTAAGATTAAGACTAGTTCAGCTTTAGCCATAGGTTCAATACACAGCACCACCTAAAACAAAACAAAACACATCCAGCTCAGCTTCATGTTAAAAAGCTCACTTTTCTCTGAATTGTTCAATTTTTAGTATTATCAACTTATTGCTCTCTATTCCCTTGGCCACTGATCATTTGCCTTTCTTAGTTCTATTTATATCTTTAACTACTCCTTCAATGTTTGTGCCAAGGCTTCAGTGCCAAGGTTCCTCAGAATTCCAATCTATTCCTCTGTTATATTCTCTCTTATTGTTTCATCCATCATACAGCTTCAACTACCATTTATTTAATGATGATATGCTGTATTTCCAGCCCAGCTCCTTCCCTGAACTTCAGACTTAACTTTTATTCTGCTAGATGTCCGGAAATGCCACAAAAATCTCAAACCAAATTATGCTGCATTCCAACTTTACCTTCCTTTATAAACCAGTTACCTTTCCTTTATTCTCCATATTGGTTACTGACAGTACCCAAGTCCTCAAGTTAGTAATCTGGTAAACATCCTGAATGCCTCCCACGCCCCCACCCCCGACAGCTCACCTCCCCAGACCAAATTCAACATTCAATTTCCTCTCAAGTCTGGTCTTTCCAATCCTTCATTTTTCTTTTCATTTCTTGTACCAAGTTTCCCTTTCATATTTTCATCATCTTTTACTTAAGAGCCTCTAAAATCTATTTCTCTGTACACCTGCCTGAATACAATATTACCATCTCTTTCCCTTGAACAACTTTCTATATTATAAAACCCAARCTGTTTAAAAGTGTGATCTGACCTTGTATACCTCTTTATAGGTTTATTTCTAACCATTTCTCATCTTGTATCTTATATTTAGCAATACTAAACTTTTACAGTTTCCTTTATGGCTAGACTATGCTGTTTCAGTTCCTCAGTTCACACCTCAACTCTAATCCTTTACCTCAATTCAGAGTYTTATCTCAGAGGTCATCTCTTCCATTAACTTCCTTTCATAATCCCTTTGAGTTAAAATAAATACCTCTGAAATACTTTGAATAAGGCTTTATCAACATGCTCAACACATTATTTTATAATTATTTGAGAATGTGTACTAACCAGAGGGTGAGCGGTCTCATTCATTTTTGCATCATTAGCAAGCACAGAACAGACATACAATGAATGAATACATTATTTCAAAGCCTATAATCCAAGTGAATAACAGGRTTCATCTATCCATTCAACAAAATGTTTCCTGGTTTCTAGCTCCRTAACAACATTTTTTAAAAAAATTATAATTATTAGCACTTATTAACTGCACCAAATAATGGGTTTCACTGTAACAATTTCAAATATGTGTATAAGGTACTTTGATTGTATCCACTCTATTACCCTCTTTCCCCCATCCCCCTAGTCACCCTCTCCCTCCCCAGTAGTCAGTCCCCCTTCTACTTTTACATGCCAACTTTAGATTTTCTTTATTCCTTTAAAAAAAAATTTAACAGCTATTATTATTGTTTTCATAATAACAAAAAATAATTTTAATCAAACACAATTTTACCTGCACCACAGAAAACTTTTGAGGTATTAAGTAAGCAGATGAAGTGCTGCAAATCTAAAGTTGGCAAAAAATTCAACACAATTTTCCCCCAAGAGTGACAAAATACACTGTATGTTTTCTTTTTTTAAAACAACATTAGGATGAGAAACTTTCATAAGAATGGCATTATCTAAAAAATGGGAATGTCCCATTGTTAGAACTACTTAATAATTTAATTAAAGCAGGAGAGTTCAATATTAGTCATACAGAAAGTTCATAAAATATATATAAACAATTCATTTGAACATACCTGTATTTCCAGTACAACATACCTGTAGTTTGATTAGGGCACTTTGTCAATACCTCTGGTGCTCTGAATCCTGGTGTACCTGCCCTAGGGGCAACCTGCTGACGCCTTAAGATGAAGAAATAAAATTTCTCTAGTTACATTAAGCTATTTAAGTACAAAGAATAGTATTTGTCAATTTGTTAGTTCACAGTGAATTTTGCCTTGATACTGATGTATTTATTAAAAGCAAATGATAACCTAGTGTGATAAGCATCCTTATTTTGCCTCTACTGGTCACCCCCACTCTTCCTGAGTTCTCTGGCCTTATTCCAGAAGGATCTTAAGGTAATTTCCAAGCATGAAAAGATGGTAGTTGATATAAGCCATAATAGAAAAATAGATCACAAAAGGAATTTGTATGAAAATTCATTTGTTTGGGGATGATTAATTATCAACGTACTTACTCAACTATATACTTGAGTTAATCAGGAAATGCTCTACAAAAGYCAAGTCTTAAAGGAAAGGGAGAAATTTATGAAGCAAAGAGCTGCAGGTATAAGAAAGGAGCTCTATTATTTGTACCTGATTATACCACACAGGCAGAAAGAAACAGAGAAAACAGAAAAGATGACATTAGCAAGCAAAATGTACAATTCAAACTTCTAAAAAAGTTACTCTCTATCTCCTCATATTTGCAATAAAAGAGCAAATGTGTTTCTCAAAGAGCATATGCATGTTAAATGAATAATATGTGACAATAGTTATCATTTGCTCTTCAAGGTTTTGTTCTACATCAATGTCTGTGTAGTTCATAGATGTTATTCYTTTGACTCAGTAAATCAATTGTCCACCAAAATTAATGCAATTTCTAATCTTGTCTGACAGCATGCTGGTGATTTTATAGTGCCATCACAACGCGTTTACCTTGAAAGGCAAATACTGCAAACTTTATCTGTTGCATAGCAGTCACAGGTCAGGTTAGCTGGGCAAGAACTGGCAGTTTTCTTTATTACACCACTATTCATAACTTTTGTAGAAACTGGCTTCTTTTTTGTTGGTAACTTTCTTGATATTACATCCATAGTCTTTGATTGCTTTACAAGCTACAAAAGAAAAGTCATATTTTCTATTTTCATGACATTTAACATGATGCCTTCATAAGCTAGTATGGCAGAAAACAACAGCAAAAGCACAATTATTTTTGTGGTGCTAGGGATCAAACACAGGGCCTTGCACAAATGAGGCAAGCACCTTACCACTGAGCTGTAACTCCAGTTCCAGCCTAATTAGAACTTTCAAAAATGGCTGAATTCTTTTGGACTATAAATAAAAGTTTAAGGTCTTTTTCTGTTGAATAAACTTAAGTTTACTAATTAATTTGGTAAATATTTGACTTTATTAGAACTTCTCCCAATATATTACACAAATATAACAGTTATGTTCTAGTGTCTAACTCCATTTCAGAACTGTAAACTGCACATTTACCGTGGCTAAAATCAGAGTTTTAATTTGTTGTTCAAGCTATCGAGCTATCACAAATCATCTAATACTGACAACAATTTTGTTACCTTTATAACCTTGTTTACACTATCAACTATGTGATAGAACTCTGTTAGGCATTTGGAAGTCACATTCTAGCAATGATGACAGAAAAAGTCTCAATGTTCCAAATGTTTTTATAGGGAAAGCACAATAAGAAGCAAAAATGATGAAAAATTCCACCAGAAATGTTCAGAAAAAAAATTAGAGAAAATAAAATTTTGACTGAATGCTCAAAGCAGTAAAAACTTCTGCCAAAGCCAAACTTTACGTAATAAACACTAATCTAGTCATTACCTAAATTTTCCTCAGTGTATGACTGACTGACCATTGCACTATTAAGCTACATTACTTACTTTCACTGCAGGGCTCTCATGTGAAATGGAACTGTGTATATTGAAATTTCTTTCTCCAAAAACAGAGCGCTGGACAGAAAGGCCTACAGATCCCTCCTACAATACCAACAAAAACAAGGAAAATAAGGATTATATCTGTAACACTTTCTGCCAGCTGTACTCTGCCATAGTTTTGAAAGAGTTAAGTGACATGAAATAAAAACAGCTGCATCCAAGACATTCTCAGGCATCAAAACACTCTGTGAAAGGAGAAAATAGTCTAGACAAAACTCTTCAGACCCATACAATGTTATCATAGCCCACAAATATATATATAACTAAAAATCTCAAAAACCACCTGCATGTCACATTTTGCTGTGCAGCTAAAATGGAGATAGACACTTCAGAATTTTTTTCCTCTGACTAATGCTTTCTTTTAAAAAGGATGATTATACTGAACTTTATAACATGCAAAGAAAATCTATTATTTTCCATTTTATCATATAATTTAATTTGTAATATATAATGATAAAGATATTATAAATCAACTAAGTAAAAAATTTCAGTGTCAAAATAGTAAGTAAAATGATTCAGCACAGACCTTAGTAAAAATCTAACCAACTGAATACACATAACCAATGTTAAAGGAAAAAAAAAAAAAAAAAGCTTTCTTTTTAACCGCAGGTACTAGTATTATATCTCCCCCTGTTGGATAAAGGAGTACATTTCCAAAATAGTGCTAGTACTTAAAAAAAATATAAAAAGGTAGAACCTTTCCATCTTTTCCTTGTTTCAACTGAATCTGTGCACTTGTGTAGGGTCTTTTGACAGAAGTTTTTGCAGTGGATTGCTGATCCAGTTCCTTAGGTGCTGAGCCACTCAATGAAATCTTGTTTGAAGTGATTACATTAGAYTTGTTTTGTGAACAACTTTCCTGCTGAGTTTCAGACTGGACAAATTTGAGAAGCTCTATTTTCGTATCATGGGTTCCTTGAGCCAAACCAAAGTCTACCAAGGCATACCTAAGAAACAAAATTAAGCACTTTTACTTTTATTTAACAATTAAAGTTTAGTAACACTGTAATACTCAAGCCACACTCACATAGAAACTAGTTCTTTTTAAGAACAATTAAGAATTTTAAATATTCCTGAAAAAAAGAAAAAAAATATTTCCAAAGTAAAGATGTAACAGCTAATTAAGATTAAAAATTAAGGAATGATATCCCTCAATTCCTTAATCATTCTTCTCTCTTTTTTTCCCATGGCCTATGTTGATAAGACAGAAGAGGAATGCATAATATAGTGAAACACTTTGACAGTGGAAGAGATGGCATCACAGCAGATAATTTAATTAGAAAGTTAAGGAAATCAAAGAGCAATGTCAAGGACATAAAAGCCCAAGAAAGAATTATAGTTTTCATCTCCTTACTATATTTAATATAATATAGTTATTTTCAGCTTATAATGCCTCTGTATATAATCAAAATATATATGGAAACAGAACTTTGGTGTTGAACCAGGAAATTGGTTATCATGCCATCCAATTCTCTCATTTAGTAGCACAAAAAAATGAAGCCAAAAGATGACAGACATATGCAAGGGCAAAAAGCACTAAAATTCTATGTCTGTCTTAGTTAAGTGCTGTTTCTGTTGGTATATCTAATGATGGGCATTGCTTTAAGAATATAATTTTATTTTCTTCATTGCATCTCTTTTCCTCAATCAATAAAAATTTTATACAGAAATAATTTGCACTTAGCTGTTGTAGTATGTTCTAAGAGAATGACTCCATAACACAAATTCACTTAAGCAGAAATATTTTCTGAAAATKCTTCATACTTACTTTTTCAAGCGCCTATTATATAAAAAATTGCTGGGTTTGACATCGCGGTGAACAATACCAAACTGATGAATGCGTTTCAAAGCTTTGAACAGATTAAACATATATTCCCGTACTTCTTGAAATGAAAGAGAATTCAAAATGTCCTAAAATAAGTTATAAATGAGATCATAAAATTATTTTCAATTAAACATTTAGCTAGTAAAAATTCAAGAAATATTAAAAACCTACCAAAAAGGACTCATGCTCCAGATACGGCATAGCAATAACCACATGATCGTTTTTCCTAAAGCAGTATTTAACTCCCATGACATTGTCTTGCCCCCTAGTGAAAAAAAGCGCAAAACAGACTTTAAAGGAAAGGTTAAAATGAATTGGAACTTTATGCTTCTTTATTTTTTTGGTGGTGCTGAGCATTAAACCAAGGTGTTTGTGCATGTTAGGCAAGGACTCTACCACTGAATTACATCCTCAGTCTTATTCCTCTTTTTTAAAAAATGTAATTTTAACAATGCATACACACTGCCAGGAAACTGGCTTAAAATCATGATATAAAATAATATAAACATTTAACTGACTTATATAAAAGAAAATTTTCTTTTAAAACAAAAATAGTAACAGTTATGAGGCTGGTGCTCAATAATAATTCAAGGGTGAGATAATTCTAATTTCAACCAAATTGGCAGAATGAGAAGGAAAAGATGAACAAGATGAGTAGCAGGTAAGATGATAACAGTAATCAGATTTTAAAAGTAACTATAGGGAACATTTACTGAACATTCACTATATGCCAAGCTCTAAGGACTTCACACCTATCAGTAAACTCAATCTAAGGAAAGTGCTATTATTCCCCTCAAAACACCTTTTTTGTTTTTCCTGATGAGGTAACTAGAGTACGTAGAGATTATGGAACTTCTCCAAAGTCACTGATTAGAGCCACACTTTGAAAGCAGTTTGCTCTGGATTTATGCTCTTAATCACTATACTACATTGCTTCATAAAAGGTAAAGAAAATGAGGTAAAGCTGATTTCCATGGTTTTGGACCTGAGTAAAACAATGTACATAGCAACAAAACAAGCAGGAAAATCACATAAGAAAGCATCTAAAACCAGGACTTCATCATTTTGATAGAGATTTCTAGATACAAAGATTAAATATTTAAGTGGGAAGTCAAGGGAGAAGTCAGTGAAAGTACCTATAGAAGTGTTATTTAATTCTGTGAAAATTTACATAAAAGAAAACTGAGTCTTGGAATAAAACCTCTAAGTTGATAAGGACAATGAGGAAGATGAAACAAAATGAGGGGTTTTGAACAAAGAGATAATCAGCTTGGAAGTCAAAGAGAATAAGGATTGAGGGAAGGCTTTTAGTTTAATAATGAGGAATTAATTATGAGAGTAATTTAGGTGGAAAGGAAAAAGCAAAACTGGAGATATGGAAAGAAAATAGGATTCTATGCCGTATCACTAGAAGTGGAGCACCAAGACAATTTGCCTAACCGCATTGCAAAATCAGATGAAGACATTTTTAGCATGTACTTGCTRAAGTTCAGAGAAAGAAAAAGTGGTAGAGGGAGATAAAGTATAGAAAAAGAAATGATCACATCTAGGGAGGGGACTAAAATACACACAATTATGCCTTGGAGAGGCTATCTCATCTTCTATAATAAACAGAAGAGTAAAACAAGGAAATAGGTTCATTCAGTAAATATTTAGTGGGTAATGTTATCTGCTATACACTATGTTAAACATTAGGTATGCAATTGTGAATAAAATTAACACAATTTCTGTCTTCACGGAGTTTACTATTTAGTGGATATAGAAATAAATAAGGTAAGAAACAATGACAGATTATCGTAAGGTCTTCAAAAGAAACCAAAAGGTATGTGACAATATTTTAAACATCACTCCGAATGCTGTGTAAGGATGGGATCAATAGGGTAGGAGAAGCCAGCTACATTAGTAGTCTAAGTCTGGACAGAGGTAGTGGCAGCAAAGACAGAAATGAGTAAGTACAAAAAAATATATATTGGAAGCAAAATGACCAAGATGGATGTATTTTAGGAAAGAAATGAAGAAACTGAGGATAATCTCCATGTTTCTGGCTTGAATAACAGTAGATGGGTGGTACCATTTGCAGAGATGGGTAGCTGAGAATATTTATTATGGTAGGGGGTTTTCTGGCTGGGGAAGGTGAATTAAAATTTAGTTTTGGGCATATAAAATATGAGATTTATCAGCCACCTAATAGGCAGATGTGTGTATCTGTAGTTAAGAAAAAAGGCCTGAGGCTAGATATATACTTTTGAGAATCATTACTATAAGCCATGTGGAATTTCAGGATACTATCTAAGAAGAGTATATAAAAAAAAAGAAAATCCAGGATCAAGCATTGAGGAATTCCAGTATTTAGGTGTTAAGTCAAAGAGGAAGAGGAAAAGCTGGAAAGGATACTGAAAAAAAAAAAAACAACAAAACAAAACAACAAAAAAAAAAACCAACAAGGAGATGTGGCAGTACAAAGGTCAAAAGATGAAGGTTCAAATCAACTGTTAATATCTACAACGAAAATTATAAAACACTAGTGAAAGAAACTGAAGAGGATACAAAAACAAGGAAAGACAGCCATGGAAGAATTACTATTATTATTAAAACGTCCATACTATCTCAAGTAACCTACAGATTCAATGCAATCCTCATCAAGATACCAATGGTTGGTCTGGGGTTGTGGCTTAGCAGTAGAGCACTTGTCTTGTACATGCGAGGCCCTGGGTTCAATCCTCAGCACCATATAAAAATAAATAAATAAAATAGAGGTATTGTGTCCACCTACAACTAAAATATATATATATCAAAAGAATACCAATGGCATACTGGAAACACAATTCCAAACTTCTTATGAAACCAAGGGATCCCAAATAGCCAAAGAATCTTAAGCAAAAAGAACAAAGCTGGAAGAATCATGACACCCCATCTCAAAACATGTAACCAAAACAGAGTGGTACTGGCATAACAAGTATTACACAGACTAATGGAACAGAACAGAGAACCCMAAAATAAATCCACATATCAACAGGTGATCTTCAACACAGGCACCAAAAACATACACTGGAGAAATGACAATCTTTTCAATAAATGGCACTGAGGAAATTGACTATCCATGTACAGAAAATGAAAATAGGCCTCTATCTATCACCATATACAAAAAATAGACTCAAAATAGATCAAACACCTAAGTGTAAGAACTACAACTGAAAAATTACTAGAGGAAAACACAGAAGAAACTCTTCAAGACATTAGTATAATATCAGGCTATGAGGTTTTACTCCCCTCCTCCCTTTGAACAAGACCCCAAAAGTAAACATTGACAAATGGGATTACATCAAATTAAGAAATTTCTGCTCAGCAACAGAAAGAATTTACAGAGTAAAGAGACAACCTACAAAATGGGATAAAATACATGAAAACTATTCACCCAGCAAGGAATTAGTATTCACAATATATAACGAACTGAAAAAAAAATCCAACAGCAAAATACCTAAATACTATGATTAAAAATCAGGAAAATGATCTGAATAGACATTTCTCAAAATATACAAATGGCCAACAATATATGCAAACATGCTCAACACTATCCACCATGAGGKAAATGCAAATCAAACCACAAGACACCACTTCCATTAGAATGGCTGTAATCCYAAAGAGAAAAATAACAAGTGCTAGTTGTTATGAGAAAAGGAGCAACTCTTACATACTGTTGGTGACAATGTTAAATTAGGACAGTCATTACGGAAAAGAGGCTGAAGGTTCCTCAAAAAACTAACAATAGAAGCACCATACAATTTAGCAATCCTACTATGGGTATATATCCAAAGGAAATAAAATCTTTATATGAAAGAAATACTTTACTCTTGTGCTTATTTGCAGCACTATTCGCAAWAGCTAAGCTATGGAATCAGCCATGGTGTCCATCAACAAATAAATGAAGAAAATGCAATATATATACATACACACACACACACACAATGGAATATTACTCAGCCATAAAAACTGACATTCTGTCCTTTGCAGGAATATGGAGGGCACTGGAGGATATTGAGGATATTAAGTGAAATAAATTAAGCACAGAAAAACAAATACCCCACAATTTCACAYATAAGTGGAAGCTAATAAAGTTAATYTCACAGAAATAGGAAGTAGAAAAGAAATTACTATAGGATAGGAAGGTTGAGGGCATGGGGAATAGAAGGAGTTTGGATAATAAGTATCAAAGTACAATTAGGAGGAATACGTTCTAGTGTTCTACAGCACAGTAAGTTGACTAAAGTTTACAGTAATAATGTATTATATATTTTATAAAGAACCAGAAGAAATGAGTTCCAAAGTTCCCAACACATAAAAATGATAAATAAGGAGACAGAAATGCTAATTACCCTTATTTGATCATTACACATTAAATATATGTTTCAAATTATCATACTGTACCCCATAAATGTCCACAATTATCTTGTGTCCAAAAAAAAGTCAATCACATTAAATGATATTTGTAGTCATGGTTGACTGTTACTAAAGTAGTTTCAGTTCAACTAAAAGGGAGAAACACACTAGGGGCGTAGTGAAGGGAAATTGTAAAAGTAAAAACAGTATGTGTAGACTATTTTTGAGGGAACAAAGAAATTAAGGAGCAGCTGGACCACAAATCAGGAGGCATAACATACTAACTACATCATGTCTACATGATGACAGAAATGAACTAGCATTTTTTCATATATTTGTTGATTGACTGTATTTCTTCTTCTGAGAAGCACTTGTTCAGTTCCTTGGCCCATTTATTGATTGGGTTATTTGGTTTTTTTTGGTATTAAGATTTTTGAGTTCTTTATATATTCTAGAGATTAGTGCTCTATGTGATGTGTGTGTGGTAAGAATTTGTTCCCAATTATTAGGCTCTCTATTCACTTCACTGATTGTTTCTTTTGCTGAGAAGCTTTTTAGTTTGAATCCATCTCATTTATTGATTCTTGATATTAATTCTTATGCTATAGGAGTCTTATTAAGGAGGATGGGGCCTAATCCGACATGATGGAGATTTGGGCCTACTTTTTCTTCTAATAGACACAGTGTCTCTGGTTTAATTTCTAGGTCCTTAATCCACTTTGAGTTTTATATGTGGTGAGAGATAGGAGTTTAATTTCATTTTGTTGCATATGGATTTCCAGTTTTCCCAGCACCATTTGTTGAAGAAACTATCTTTTCTCCAATGTACATTCTTGGTGCCTTTTTCAAAGTGTAATCATATGGGTTAGTCTCTGAGTCCTYTATTCTGTACCATTGGTCTACAAGTCTATTTGGGTGCCAATACCATGAGCAATTAGAGAAATGCAAATCAAAACTACTCTAAGATTTCATCTCACTCCCAGAATGGCAGCTATTAAGAATACAAACATCAGTAAGTGTTGGCAAGGATGTGGGAAAAAAGGCACACTCATATATTGCTGGTGGGACTACAAATTGTGCAGACAGTATGGAAAGCAGTATGGAGAATCCTTGGAAAACTGGGAATGGAAATAGCATTTGACCCAGCTATCCCACTCCTTAGTCTATACCCAAAGGACTTAAAAACAGGAACACAGCCACATCAATGTTTATAGCAGCACAATTCACAATAGCTAAACTGTGGAACCAACCCTGATGCCCTTCAGTAGATGAATGGATAAAGAAAATGTGGCATATATACACAATGGATTATTCAGCATTAAAACAGAATAAAATCATGGCGTTTRCAGGTAAATGGATGGAGCTGGAGAATATAATGATAAGTGAAATTAGCCAATCCCAAAAAATCAAATGCTGAATGATTTCTCTGATTTAAAGATGCTGATTCATAATATGCTGCAGGAGGCGGGGGGATGGAAAGATTAAATGAACTCTAGATAGGGCAAAGGGGAAAAGGGGAGGGAGGGCAAGGGAAGGGGCACAGGAGTAGGAAAGATGGTGGAATGTGATGGTTTTCATTACTCTAAGTACATGTATAAAGACACAAAGGATGTGACTCTACTCTGTATAAAACCAGAGATATGAAAAATTGTGCTCTATATGTGTAATATGAATTGTAATGCATTCTGTTGTCATATATAACAAATAAAAATTTTTTAAAATTTTTAAAAAATAAACTAAGTTAAAAATTAACAAAATTAAAAAAGAAAAGAAATGAACTAGCAGAAGAGAAACCAAGGAGAAAGACATGGAAAATATTCTGTACCAATGGTACAGAACAGAGGACACAGAGACTAACCCACATAATTATAGTTATCTTATATATACCTATAGTTGTAAAGATAAGAAAAATTAATTCTTCATACTAAAAAACAATCTAGACCATGGAACTCAAGATTTATGATTTGGCAGGAAGGTTACAAAAAAGTGGTACAAGAACAGGAAGTCAAGCTGGGCCTCAAGAAATCCACTCTAGAAGAATATAAATTTAACCAATCATTGTAAGGTTAGAGACAAAGTATTTGCAAACTGCAAACAAGTGAGTGAAAAATACATTCAGTTCATGCATAATCTCTAATTCCCAATAAGCATATACTTTAAAATATTATAAATTATATACAGCCCAATCAATGAAAGTATCTTAAAATTGCCTACCCAGCCACTGTTAAACACTGCAGTTCAGCTGCAATTCTTACAGGATGACTTGTTGGAATTAAGTGTTTTAGAGCAATTTTCTCTTCAGGTCCTACTTGTAACTGTGCTGTGGCCAAATAAACAGAGCTGAATGTGCCTGTAAAATAATTTATTAAGTTTTAAATATCTCACTTTTTAAAATGTTAATGAAATGATACTATTTATAGATGAAGAAACTTTGAATGGCATAATATATTAAAACAGGACTGTTCATTTTACTGTAAATATTTATGTTTTCACACTTTACAGGAGGGAAAAAAGAAAGAGAAAAGCTGTTACCATAATAATATTATCATGGTTTTAATAGTTTAAAAATAGGGTATTTTCAACAAATAATAATGAAAACTTAGATTATGCAAAGAAAACAGAAGGAGGAAAAACTTGTAAAGGTAATAAAATATATCCCTAAATTACCTTCTCCAATTTTGTCCTTTATTTTAAACACATTACTAAGCTGTGGTACAGCTTCATACAGCTTCTCAATATCTTTTTTAACACCTACCAAGGAAAAGAGAAAGTAYAAATAATACAATTAACAAGAGCTCTTTTAGAGTTTCTCAACTTAAAAAATAAAATAAAATGTAATTAATCACAAATGTTTTAATGAATCTTAAAATTGTAAGAATATTGAAAACTCCATCCAAYTGCTACCACCCACATACACCTATTTTAGCTAATGGACAAAAAGATAGTCTCAGATTATAAATAGCAAATTTCTACTACACTGGAACTGCACATTAATAACTACATTGCTATTGCATATTTGTCTTTTAAATGAAGAAGCTAATTTTTTATTGGTTTCTTTTTAATTAAATTATTTATTTATTCTAATTTGTTATGCATGATGGCATAATGCAATTCATTTCATATTACACTTATAGAGCACAATTTTTCAAGTCACTGATTATACACAAAGCATTTTCACACCATTCTTGTCTTCATACATGTACTTAGGGTAATAATGTCTAACTCATTCCACCATCATTCCTACCCCTTTAACCCCTCCCTCCCCCTCCCCCATCTCCATTATGAGTCAGCATCCTCATTTAAAAAAAAAAAAACTGCTTTTGGTTTTTTGGGATTGGCTAATTTCACTTAGCATTATATTCTCCAACTCCATCCATTTACCTTCAAATGCCATGAT